TTAAAACACACACACACATGCCCATAAAGGCCCTTTACAGTATGTGTGCAGTTGTGTGAAGAACAAAAATCAGGTAAATAATAAAGCAAGCAAGAAAAACAAATCTAAAATAAGTCTCAAGATGACAAAAAGGTAAATGTATGTAACTAGTTTTTGCAAATAAAGCCATCAAATGCAATACAGTTTTATGTATGGAAAACATGAAACAATATTCATTTGTTAAAAGCACACTTGATTTTTATGCAATAAATTACATGTAGCAAAACAGAACTTTTGGTGGGGATATAATTCATATGTTCTCAAGCAAAGCCTTCAATTTAAAAATAGCTCAAAATTCACCGCCTCTGGTGAACAAAGTGTGTTCTCTGCTAAGTGTATGCCAACATGCCCTTTACCCAGACCTTCCCCAAGAGACAAAAGGAATTTGGTGCCTACTCAACGTTGTTCTTGAAATACTACTACCAAGGACCAAGTAATGTTTACCATATAAGGATATTTTATATGGCCAAGTGATCCTCATCAACTTACATCGCTGTCCCTGATCTTTGATAAAACTCAGCACCCATTCTTTGAAGATGTTATCATTGAGACCTTTAACACTATATATTTTACAAGCTTTATTTTATACTGACAATACAAGTAATATATTTTCTTCTATTATTTTCCATGTTTGGACCTTGGGAAGGCAAGGCACAGAAATACCACCATAAAACACAACTGGAAACTTCTAGCTATCAAAACAACAGAGGTTTTAAAAGAGAAATGCAGGTCTAGCTGGCTTGGCTCAATAGATAGAGCACTGGCTGCAGACTAAAGGGTCCTGGGTTCGATTCCAGCCAAGGGCACATGCCTGGGTTGCAGACTCGGTCCTCAGTAGGGGGTGTGCAGGAGGCAGCCGAGCAATGATTCTCTCTCATCACTGATGCTTCTATTCCTATCTCCCTCTCCCTTCCTCTCTGAAATCAATAAAGATACATATTTTAAAAAAAGAAAAAAAGAAAGAAATGCAGACACCCCACCAAATAAACAGAACCAGGCTCCCCCTCCTCCTCACCCGCTCCCCTGC